GGTCGCCAGTAGAGACCGAACGCAGTGAAGTCTGTACCAGCGACCGAGGTCAAGATTCTCCCATACAGACCGACCTAGCTCGGTTAATAAGATGTTTATTATATGGCTGTCTTATATGCCAATTTTTTTTATATTCTTTGTACCTTCTTTTTCTAGACCGGTCTAGATGCCGGTCTAGATGGGAAAATCTAGACCGCTTTCAATATTGATTTCAGCCAATGAAATTCGTGAATTCAGTAGTTCCCAATCCTTGTGAGACACAGCCATATAATAATATTGAATAACATACAGTTGAACTAGAGGAATGAAAGTGATCACTTGCCCCATGAATACTCCAGCTTCGGTGCAGCGAAGGGAAATTCTAGGATAGCCACTAGCACAAGGACTTAACGGCTTCATTTGCGTCGGAATTATGGGAGATTCTCCGATAGCCACTAGCACAATGACCAAACAACCACGTCTGCGTCGGTATAATACGAGATTATAAGATAGCCACTAACACCTTTGCGTTGGTATAGGGGGAGCTAGATTCCCAGAACGCCACTAACGTGAAAATAAATCTCTATTAATATGAGTCCAGACATCAATAACTGAGAAGTCTAGACTGGGTACAGGCAGTTGACGAAACCTCCGTATACCTTTGTCTTAACCGTGTAACGAAAAGACAGTTTCATTCACGCTGGTACTTCAGCCTTCATCAAAGACTCGATCCCTGCATATGCTGCGCTATAAAAATTTCTAGAATCACCCGAAAAATTTATCATAACAATTGCAGTTTATTTATCAAGCCTCTCTTTTTTTTTACTGAAATGACCTCGCGACAGCCTATACTTCTATAAAAAGATAGGACAGCGCACGAGGTCTACACCTCCGCTTAGAGGAGTGTAATTTTTTTTTACATATTTTACCTTAAAATCAAACTCGAAGAAACAGCTTCGATGGTCTCGATCGAGCTTATGGCGGAACATGAATTTTCTTCCTCTGCTGCACTATTTCAAAAGTAGGTCACTATGAAAGTCATTTTGTTGTGTAATTTCTCAATATCGGAAAAACAAAGAATTTGTTTATTATAGCATTTGGTTCAATGACACTGTGCGCTTCGTGTACCTTCCCCTTGCCCATCTCGCCATTTCCAGTTACCAGTCTCCTCTCTTTCTTCCCTTTGTTCAGGAGCCATGTAGGTTTTGCATAATTCATCTACTTTCGCTTTGGTTCGGAACCGCGATCGCCAGACTTCTGTGACCTGCGATTTACATTTGCACTTTCATCACTGCGTTTAAAGTATTTTTTGGCAATGGGAATGGCAAATAATACCGATCTCTCTGAAGTACAAACCGGAAGCATTACGTCAGACCTGAACCACTTTAATATCGAATTCAGGAAGGTTGAGGGGTTTAACGAGGAAACTGGATCCGGATCGCTTAAGTTTACTTTTGACTTGGCTCTCGAAAAGGGAATACAGGTTGGCATAAAGTAGATTGGAAGCGCCACCTCGAAGATGGAAATTGTCAGGTGTTCCTACCTGGGAATAAAGAGTGATAAAGAAATAGAATCCTTTGACATGGAAGATGAGCTGGTAAATTGGCCCAAGCTCGAAAACGGTGAGAGGCTTCGCAACTACCTTGAAGAAACGTCGTGCCTTTGGTGATCAGAAAGATCAAATACACTAAATTCAGCCCCCAATTCCACAAATCGAAAGACAAGAAACTAATGAAAAGTTTCTGCAACGGGCTCAAATTTCTTGATTACAAAACATGGCTTGACGAAGATAACATGCCGTTTGGCGCTAATTTGTGGGGAGAATTGAAAATAGCTGTCGAAAAAAACCATTGTCTACTAGTCTGGCTCACTGAGGAATACTTTCAGAGCCGCTTCTGCCACGCAGAACTGTTGTAAGCGAATCAACTTGGAAAAATCATTCTCTCATTTGGCGATCACGGCGGCAAAATGGAAGGTCATTTGAAGAGAGAGTTTGAATTTCTTGTCAATCGTCCCCCATTTTTGATACTTCAAAGTTATCCTTCTTTAAGGTACTTCGACGCAGTCGATGATGCTTTGTTTGAGTTCGAATAGCTTCCAATCTAGACTGCAGATGTCTAAATTCAAAGCACCGCCATTTATTTGGAAGAGGAATTGAGAAACATTCTCAGCAGGTGTTATATTTTTGCTTCTTACAATTGCTATTTCTATGCCTCGTTAGCCAAAAAAAATTTTAAGGATGGCGTCTATTTAGCCGGCTAGTGATTTGAATATTACCCAGTCAATTTAACAGTATCAAAACGAAACGCAATAGCAAGGAAACTTGAAGAGTTGACAATAAGTATAGGTGTTAAGCCTTGTAAAGTTTCTTTCTTATTTCTTGAGGGCTTCTGCATGGGTTTTGCTTTAACTTGGTGTTGGAAACTCTATTCATAAATGACCTCGTTTGTCTATTACATAACCAAACAACATGTATGCGAAACGTGTTTTTCGCCCATATATGAGCTTGTTTTTCAGTCGTGCCTTGATGTAACTGTGCGATAAGTTGATTATTCTTTATTTGATTGACATTACGTATGATGCACAATCCTCGCAGACTGCGAGGATCGTGCATCATACGTATCTAATACGGCAGTTCAAAATATATGAACTTCATATATCAAGAGCCATAAATGGGACAGAGACGGAAACGCCCAGTCAGGCCCTTGGGATATGTGAATTTCACCAAAGTTATTTAGACCCTTGCATTTATCGGAAGTTGGTTTTCCGAGAGGTCCGCAAACTTTAATCGGTGATGTTAAGAGTCATCCAAGAAAAGATGTGAGAAAAAAATGGCGTCGCGCGTGGAGGTGAGATTTATCGATGA